CGTAAAAATTCTCTAATTAGTCTGGAAACGGGGGACCTAATTCTTGCATTCTGTGAAAACGGGTAAGATTGGCTACAATGTAATTATCTTAATCTTCACTATCGTTACTTTTTGCCCACAAATAAAAACCCAGCAAAGCAGGTCCTTGCAGCTAGATTCTAGATTACTTAGAAAAACAGTCTTTTATACATAAAAAAAACTATATTACATACAAATGTACAAACAAATAAAAACCCAGCGAAGCGGGATCTTGCAGCTAGTTTTTGATAAAAATGTAATTGTAGAAGTGTGTTAGGTTAAGTAAACAGTTTCTTAATAAAATTTTTATACTAATTTAATTGTATTTAAGAGGCAGAAACAGATAAAAATTGATCATACAAATTAAAACAAACCTAAGTTTTTAATTAAATATAAATGAAATATTTTCCTTTAATAAGGAGGAGTATAATTTTTTGAGGTGTAAGATTAATTTTACAATTTGTAAAATGTCTTTTCTTTCCATAGATATTTGGAAGTAGAAATATGATACATAATGCTTTTTTCAAGTTTCAGTAAAATAAAAAAAAGTTTATTGAATTGTAGATTAAATATTTTTAAATAGACTTTGTTTTAGAATTTGGCTTTATATTAATTGCTTTGTTTTGAATTTTACACAGTAGAAGAATATCAATATTGAATTACTACTACATTGTTCCAAATGCAGTATGACAAGTATCAAGAAGTGTTTCTTAAGCAAAAAAAATATAACTGAATATAGTATGACCTTTATTTTTACACCTGCAGAATTGCCTGTAAAATAGTTAAAGTAACTAGTGCTGCTCATATGCTTCCATTATTCTGAATTTTTCATGATGTTTCACTGTTGTTGTTGTTGTACTGAGCATATACCAAAACTGTACTTTTGAAATTTGAGTTGAATAATCTAGTAATTTCTTGTTTGCTGAGATGTTGAATCTTATTTATCAACATGTGTTAACCATTTTTCTTTGCCTAAAAATTATTTAAAAGAAATATTACATTGCCACTGTATTAGGAAGTTGAACAGTGCTGTAATGCTATGTATGAAGACCATACTCTGTGCAAGTTTGAAAGAACTTGCTTGCATATAAACTAAAATTTTTAGTTCTCAAAGAACTAAAAGCATTGAAAAAAAGGTCACACTATATTTAGAACAATATGGTATTTTATAAAGAAAATTTACAGAAATGTCTCTTGTCAAATAGTATTAGAATTTATCAACAAATTCATTTGTATTAAAGATAAGTTTTTTTCATAGCATTTATTTTCAATATATGATCTATTTTCTAGAGTAGAATGTTTTTCTAAGTACAGGTATCCCTTGTACAACATGGCATTTCTGCAACACTGTTGTGCCCTAACACAGATCAGAATTTGGGGAAATCTCCCATTCAACATTGTTTGAGAATTTGGGAAACACTCCATACAAAATTTCACAACATTTTAGTGAAAACTTTACTTTTTCGATATTTTTTATTCAAGTAATCATGCATGTTATCTCAAATTTTCCCATGAATTACAGAATATCGAAATTTTGTGCCTTTCATCAGGTTTAATGAAAAGTGATAGTTCAATTATTTTCCATTGTCCTAGCTTTCCTATCAACCAGGTATTGTTGATGTTGCTTTCAGACATTAGCATTTAAGACTGTTTTGTATTTTGGTTTTATAGATTAATTTTCATATTTAGTAAAGTTTAATTAAACATTTTTAGGCAAGTGCTATTAACATTTTTTCTAACTACAGGTAAGTAATCATTTGTAAAAATGATGAACAAAATACAATGGTATCTTAGTACTCAAACAATTTGGTATTTGAACACAAATTCTGGAAAAAGTTTACTTTGTTCTCAATTGATCAAACATGATTAACTAGAACAAATTTTCAATTAATAACATATTTTTATGGTAAAAATAAATGAAAACACTTCTGATATTTCTGATCAACATCAACAAAAAGCCAGATGATGATGATACTTTGTAAAAAGAAAATGCCCTTGTTTAACTAAAAGTAATATTAATGTATATACAGAACTTTTAATTGTGATTGTTAATTAATTATTGATGGGAAATAAATGATCAATTGCTTTACTAAACATATATCTCTTACTTGTTAGTGATGAAAAAGAACTTTTGTTAACTTTTAGAATTTAATTTCATGATTTGTATTGGTCTTTTTTATATAGCATGGATTCACATAAGGTAGCATTTTTTCAGAACATAACTACCATGGTATATGAGGGATACCTGTACAATATATATCTGAGTGAACCAAAATATTTATTTTCTTCCAAATTCTTAGAGCTGTAAAAATTTAATTTACAAAGTATTGCTCTTGCATTTATCCATTAAAGTTGTAATCAGACTATCTTGAAGAATTTTATGGTTAATGCTACTCTGTAATACTATGTATCTTGTTTGTATATTATTTAATAAAATATGAAAACATTATATAAATTGTGTAAACAAAAATTAACTTTGGTAATAGTAGGTAAAGAAAACTATATTTTTAGTGTAGACAATCCTAGCATAAATATTCATATGAAACTTTAAAGGGAAAAATTGTTTAATTACATATTTGCGTTATTGGGCTGCAGTTTGAAAAAATTGTAAACCTTTAAATTCTGATTGTCATCTGTCTGCCTTTACTTAATCTCGATAACAGAGTTATTGGAGTTATATAGATGAAAGATGAGACCAGATATAGAAACCTTAGGGTAGGAGATTCTGATTAACTATATAATAACTTCTGATGCAAACCATTCAAAAATTTTCCTTTGAAGGCAGTTAATAGATGACTGGCAAGACTCTATTGTTAAAGGAAAAGGATGATGCACAGGAGCAAGCCACTACTAAATTGAGGTGGCAAGCATATATTTTAAATAAAATAAATTAATTAAAAATTGCAGCCTGGCATTATGATGATGTCACAATAAAGAATTGCTCATCTATAATTTAAACTTTTTTTCCTATAAATATTTGTTAAATGAATGTAAAGTTTATAATAATTTTATATTTGTTGTGTAATAGTGAACAAAAAGCATAAAAACACAATAATTATGGATATATAAACTATATATCCATAATAAAAAAATAAATAAAAATGTAATAAAAAAAATAGCACATTTTTTAAATATGAAACCTGAAGTTTGTATGAAGTTTATAAGAATACAATCATAAAGTAAATTCTAATTAATCATGTATATTATTTTATTTTTTCTATTTGATGCAAAAAAATTTATAAATGATGAAAAATGACATGAGTAATTGAGTTATATCAGTCTATCAAAAATAACAATTATGACTATTTTGTGTAAAATGTTATTTATAATTTATTTATTGTAAATTTTATTAATTTTAATATTTATCTTTTTTCATTTAGAAAAATGCCAATAAGAAGAAATGTTTTAAGGTAAAATTGTAAATTCTATTTACAAATGTACAAATTTCAATAATAATTTTAAAATTCTATTATTTTTTTTAGTAGTATTAAAAAATCTGATTGGGTAGTTCCTCTTGCCTTATTTGAACCATCAGATCCAAAACAAATACCAATGTATCATAAACATAAAGTATATACAGGATTAGAAGAGTTTTCATTTGAAGAAATTGAAGCAGTCAGGAGAGAGAAATTACGTAAAGAAGAAGAAGGTAATTAACAATAATTTTTATTCCCTGTTTATAGATAATTTGATGTTGGGAACAAGCAGGTTTTTGGCCTGGCCAATCTTATCAAGACGAAATGTTTGTACTAAATAGATTGGTTCAAGCAAAACTGCAGAAAAGGAGAGGAAAATTTTATGCTGTTTTTGTGGACTTTAGATCTGTCTACGATACCATTAATCATAAAGTTTTATGGTTTCTCTTACAGAAAATAGGTATGAATAAACAGTTTCTTGGCCTTTTCATTGATATATATTCCAAAGCTACTGCAAAAGTAAAGATACTATCTGAAATGACTGATTTGTTTGGCATTGACATATGGGTTTTGTGGGATGAGATTCTTAGTCCACTGCTTTTAAATTTATATGTTTAAAAGCATATTAGTATCTGAATTATCTGGAATTTCTCTCTGATCAAGTGGAGATGTGTGTGATAATATATGCTGATGATACTGTGATTCTTGCCAATATTCCACAAATGTTGCAAAAGAAAATTGCAGTTGTAGAGGAATTTTGTCGTGACTATCGATTATTTATAAACATTTTAAAAACTAATGTAATGGTATTCAAGAAAGGCGGTAGACTATCATCTAGAGCAGTGTTTCTCAACGGGGGCGATATAGCCCCCCCATGTGGGCGATTTTCCATGTTGAGGGGGCGATTAGTGACAATTTATATTTTGAGGGGGTGAAAAAGAATTTTCTGGGCGATATAGTAAAACATTATATTAAGAATAATTAGATATTTTATTATTGTACAATAATTAAACAAATAACATTACACTAGTCACTAGTATATTCAATGCAGTACGAATTTGGCATTAGCCTTGGTCCTCGGCCTCGGAATTTTGAAGTGAAGGGGGCGATGGTTCGTTACAGGTTGAGAAACACTGATCTAGAGAGAAATGGTTTCTTCATACCAATCTTTACACGTTGTCTCAAATTACATATATCTGGAAAAATTCCCAGATATATTTTTGTCTTCTGAGCAATTTTTACAGGCCAAAAATTATAGTATACGTAAGGCTAAAATGGCACTAGGTTCTATGTGGCCCATTTTTTCAAGAGATAAAATTAATACTACTCATATAAAATTATTTCAATGATTTTATCTGTATTGTGTTATGCTGCTCCTGTATGGGCAATTACATATTATGATAAAATAAAATTGTTCTTGCTTTATGTCTTTGAAAAATTTTCATGTTATATAGTAAAATTCCAGCTTGCATGTTGCGTTTTGAGTTTGGTGTTTCTAGAATATCGACAATTGTAATAAAAGGAATAATTTCATTTTGGATTAGACTTGAAATCGAAGGAAAAAGTTACATTAAATTAGCATATAACAAACTATAAATTAAGTTAGAAAATGTTCAGTTATACATATAATTAGACGATGGTGCTGTTACCTGTTAGCTTGACATGGTTTCTCCTTTTTATGGTTGTTTCAAGATCTTCATTTGATTGAAAGCTATCAAATGTTAATTCTAAAAGTGTTGTGAACAATGCATACAAGAATGGTCTCTGCTGGAAAAGAATAAGCATTTCTATTACAGTGTAGTATTAAAAAAAACTTGTGCGCGCTGATTACTTGTTTATGGACGTAAATTATTATGTAAAACGATCAATTCTTCAACTAAGATGGTCAAAATTAAATTTTGATGTATAGTAGACTAATAATTTTACTAGTTGTTATATTGTTTCATTTATCTTAAAAATACATAAATAATTTGCAAAAATTGAAGTTCTCCATGAGAAGATCCAAAACTTCTTGCAAATTTTGATTAATTCGATAATTGCGTTTAAAACATTTAAAAGGCATTTAAAAGATGTGACGAAATTTATTTTGTATTATCTTGTATTAAGTTATTACATTAATTTGTTAAATATTATTAACTTACTTTTAAGTTATTGTCTAACCCTTTGTAATGAACTAAGGTTCATGCAGTAAAGAATTATTATTATTATTACTATTACTATTATTATAGATAACTGAGAATTAAAATGTAAAATTAATACAATTTCAGAAAAATTAAGAATTCGAACATTAGAAGAAGAAATTTCCCATTTGAAAACTCAATTTCAAATGATGAAGAAGAATAGGTAAGAGAGAAGATGAATGAATATATAATGAAATATTCATTTTTATAATTTCCATTTCATTGCAAAATATAGTATAGGTACTCTTCTACTTATGAACAGGTTAGGTTTCCTAGGTTTTATTTTAAGTTGAAATGTTCAGAAGTTGGAAACTAACCTAGAAAGCACATTCGTACACAGAAAAATTGCTTATTGTTAGTGTTTGATTTTTCAGTGTACTTAATAGAATGCATTACATTTGTTTACCCACTTGCTACTTCTTACTAGTGGGTGTTTTATATGCAGTTTTTTTTTATATGATGCACTTAGTTTTATGCTGATAAGTTTATTTTTAATGGTAATAGTGACACTTCTTGCATTTATCTCTTGCTATTTTTACTATTACGTTTTGGATGCATTTTTGAAGCACTAATCATAAAAGTTTATAAAAATTGCAAACAATATTGAAAAATGCCATTACTCTTGTGTTAGTAATGTTCATAAATCAAAGTTCATAAGTTATTATTATTATTATTGTTTATTGATTTAAATTTAAATTTCTTACAATGGGGACAAATTAAATAATAATATAAACATTCAAATCATAGTAAAATTAACGAAGAAATTCCAAAGATTTAGAGAAAAAGGAGAAGAGCTTAAATAAGGTAATTTTTGACATAACCTCATTCTTCAAATAATCACATCTAAACTCCTCCCCTAATACAGAACATTTTAGTTGGTATGTCACTTGACAGGATTCAAACAAATGAGTCAGAAGATCTTCTTTTTCTTTTACACCACAGAATTCACAACACCCTTCACTGGATATATTTATCCGGTAACCCTTGAACAAAATTCGAAATCTGTTTAGTCTGAGTTGCATAATAAGGCTTTTTGTAGAAAAATTAGTCTCACAATTCAAGTAACTTGCTGTACACCAGACCAAGCGTGATTCACACAGATTAACTCGTTTAGCTGATATTGAAGACATATCCCAGTTCCACAACTGATCTGACTTAGTTTGAATTAGTGCATTTAAATGGGTTCTCAACAAAGAAGCTGAATGAGATAAAAATAAAAAGGAATAACCCAAGCCATCAAAAATATTTTTAACTGAAGCTGGCCAACTTTTCTTACCATGTTTAACTGCTGTTAACAAAACATTATATGTTATTCGACGCAAATCACATGAGGGTAACTCCATGATTTTGGACCAGAACAAAACAATAACTTTAACAAATTTCAGTTCCAATGGTGGTCTTCCCAACTCAAGACGAACTGCAGAACTTGAAATTGAACGTTCTATTTTAAAAAGTCTCTTAAAATATTTCATCTGAACTTTTTCCATTTTAGACAAATATTCCAAACCCCAAACCGGAAATAGATAAGACAGCCTGGAACCAATAAAAGCGTCAAAAAGCCTAAACATGCCTCTCATAGAGTTTAGCTTCATACGTTTCTGTACAGTGAGAATGTACCCTGTCTTTTTCTGAATATCTTCGTCTATCAAACTAAAATGATGATTAAATGTACCTGATGAAGAAAAATGTATTCCCAAATATTTAATATATGTGACAAATCGAATTTCAGTGTTATTCACAAATATCTTGTCAGATTTTGATAATCTACCTCCATTGCGAAAAACCATTCCCTTCGTTTTTTGTAAATTAACTGTGAGGTCATTTCTTTCTGCGTAATCAACCAGCAAAGAAAGTTTTCGCTGTAAACCCGTCTTTGAATCTGCCAACAAAATTACGTCATCTGCATACATTAGACAATGCAAGTCAACAGTATCTCCTAGTGCAAAGCCCGAAATTTCTGAAGTAGAGAACAGTTGTGGTAAATCGTTAATAAATAATATAAACAGCAAAGGACTTAAAGGCTCTCCCTGTGGTAAGCCCCCACCAGAAATAACGCCCTTAGTAGTTGTTAAGTTGTCACTCACATAATACCTTGTATTACAAAATAGGTTTTTAAGTAGCCTAATAAACGAAGTTGAAAGTCCTATTGAATATAGCTTTTGCCACAGAATATTAAGATTAATTCTATCAAACGCCTTCTCCAGATCCACAAATATCGAATAAATTTTACGTCTTTTCCTTGACAAAACATACTGTATTAACCCGTTAAGTATAAAAACATTATACATAGTTCCTCTTCCTTGAACAAATGCTCCTTGAAACTGAGAAATAATATTAAATTCCATTAGCCATTGACTCAACCGATCTGCCAATATTCCAGTAAACAATTTTCTAAAAGTGTTAAGCAATGCAATTGGACGATAATTCTGAGGCTTTGATTTATCTCCTTTCTTGTAGATCATTTTCAACATCACATTTCTCCAATGCTCAGGAAATATCATTGTCTCCTTAATCTTATTAAATAATGTAAGTAATTCTAAACACACCTCATCAGGTAAATAAATAATAAATTCATTATTTATACCGTCCATGCCAGGAGCTGATTTTCTTTTAAGTTTACAGATTGATATCTTTAACTCCGATAATGAAATTGGAGCGTCCAAAATGGGAGAAACGTTTTCATGATCAAACTCAAGAATTGAATCAGAAATTGGATGACAAAAGTCATGCTCCAAAAAACGTTCCCAGTCTTGAAGAGGAATTTGACTATCGGGTTTTTTTTTTCATACTAAATCTGTTAACAATAGACCAAAACTGTCTAGAACAGGGGTGGCCAACCTTTTGCATACCATGCGCCAATTTTTTGGTAGACGAGTTGAGATGCGCAGTGGCGTACCGTGGGTGTTAGCCGCCCGGGGCGGAGAAAAATTTCGGCCACCCTGTAATCAGGTATATCAATTTAAAAGATCAAAATTCAGTTGTGTGAAAAAAAAAATTAATAAAAAATGCGGTGGTGGCGTAGTTACCCGTACAAAATAGTCCCATTTGACATTAGTGGCATACACGATTGCAAATGTATCGTGAATATTAGAAGCAAAAAAAAAAAAAAAGGTCAACAGTTGCAGCAGTCCAACCGACTCGTGGACTGTCCGGACGGTAGCACTGTCATTTAGACGCCTATGCACTGATCGAAAATAAACATACATGCATACACTGTAATTTACTATGTGGAGAACACTCATTTTATCTGTAAAGTTGATTGCAACGAATTGTGCAACAAATGAACTTGCCAAGACAGACTATAAAAAATTAATTTTCTATGTAATATTCTTAATTGCAAAGAAGCCAAATCTGGCAATGTTGCTCAGAACTGACTAAAGCGCCACTTGTAATCGTCCAATGCGCCAAGTTTGGCGCATGCGCCACGGTTTGGCCACCCCTGGTCTAGATGAACGTGTATTTTGCAGCTGCCTACTAATATTTGACCAATAATTCTTCTTTTTTATCCTACACAATGATCGAAAGGCAGTCCTATAACCACAATAATGCATCAAATCGTCTTTACTACGGGATATCCGAAACCTCCTCAACATTTTATTCTTCAGTCTCTTCGCTGTTCTACAATCACTATCGAACCAAACTGAAGACGGTATTTTCGTCATTCCTAAGTATGAAAACATTCCACATTGTTCAGCTGATGTCTTAATCAAATCCAGAATTCCAGAATACCTATCCTCCATTCCACCACTTAAGACAACGTTTGCATATCCAACCGAAACTGCCTCGGAATATAGGGTGGATCTATCCTCCTTCCAAGTTAATCGTTTTGTCCTATCAATCAAACTTAGTTGTCTATCGTCATCAGTATCAATCAAAATTCCAAAATTCAGCATACGATGGTCAGACATGTAGTCATCGGAAACAACAAAATCACGTAGTCTCGCCACCAAACCTTCGCTCAAAATCACTAAATCGATTACTGAAGCACCCAATCCAGATATATAAGTGAAGTCAGCTGGTGAGTCGAAAGGATAACGACCATTTATTATGTAAATGTTATAAGATTTCACCAGGTCAATAAGCAACTTTCCTCTTTTGTTAAAAATTTTATCGTTTGACAGTCGAATATTCGAAATCACATTCCCACCACAAAAAGAATCCATTGTCAAACCAATTCGTGCATTAAAATCACCCATCAACAAAAGATCGTAATCTGATGTATAATCAGAGATCAAATCTTCTAGTCTTGAAATTAATTGATCAAAAATAGGTATATGAAGGTAAACCAATATGATTATCATTTCACGTAATCCTCTACTTTGCCTCCGATTAAATTTCACTTTAACAACCATCATGTATTGCCGTGACAGAAGCAAATTAACTTCTCCCAGGTCACCACTTATGGCCAAAAGTAACCCACCCGATGGTCTACCTCTCCCCAAATTTTTGGTGGCCAATATCTCAAAAACTTTAAATTTACAGTTAATACTTTTAACTCTCGAACATAAAGGAACTGTAGACCAAGTCTCAGTCAGTCCCAAAATATCAGTTCTGGTAATATGTTCAACAAAACCATTATCATTCAGATTAGTCAGAAAGGCGCCCTGGGAGTTCCATGCTGAAACTTTCAATTCTACTGTACACTTCCCTGAATCGGAGAGAGAACATTTGGAGAATCTACTACACGGCTTTCCACTAAAAAATCAAGTTTCAATAATTCTCCTCTAGCCAAATCATAAGTATATCTCTCTGAGGCAACCTGTAAAACGTCGGCCATCAATCGAACTCGCCTGCCCTCCAATCTATAAGCACGTAAAAAAGGCAGAAGCTTTTTCCGTCTCAATCTTGAGCGCCAACATAAATCTTCAAAAATTTGTATATTTTTTAATACGTCATTGGCTTTTATCTTTCCAAGATTAGCAAAAATTAATTTTTTGTCTGCAAATGACTGCAATTCCACCAATACCATATCTGAACGTTTAAATTTCTCTATCTTAACCGTTGGAATAGGTCTTGATTCACCTATCAATGTATAAAACAGGTTCTGCACCTTCCTATTCAAGTCAGAACCATCATCAATCAAACCTTTAATTAAGAAATTTTTCTTTCTCGCTTCATTCGACACCTTGTCCAAAGAATACAAAATCAAACTGTTTTCCCGTTGCAAATCATCTTTAATTTTAGAAATCTCTCCTAGTTTGGCTTCTAACTGAGTCAAACGCCGATCATGGTCATTATGTAAATTAGCCAACCAATCTATCTTCGCAACTACCTCATTTAACGTCGAAAAAAGCTTATCAAATCGGTCATCCAAATAAGAAATAACCTCCCCAGGAATAGACTTACTTGTGTCTGACTTTAAAGGGAAGAAATCTTCTAATCTCGCCGTTTTCAATGAAGGTTCACTCGGAGAACGATGTCGTTTAGCAGTGGATGCCGATGCCTGAATCTGTGAATGCGGCAGAGTACGATCAACAGGACCAGGATTTAACTCTATTCCGCCCAGAAATAACAACAACTCGAACACCATAATCCAAAATTCGATATTTTCCATAATTTGGATTTCAAAGAAGCTCACGTAAAAGTTCACTAACACGCTCGACTGCAAGCAGCGCCCCCCTCAAAGTTTATAAGTAGGGGAGCTCCTATACTCTGAAAATTTTACTATATATCAGTGTTTTTAGTTTAATTCAGTGAAATCCTGATAAATTGTTGGGCTGCCATTTGAAAAAAATTGAAGACTTATAAATTCCCACTGTCTGTTCTTCCTTAATGGAGAATTTAATTTATGCCAAATATAATTCCAAATAGGGTTTGGCATCCAAAATTTTTATGTGTATAAAAAAAATTTTTTTAAGAGAATTAAAACACAGTTTGCTCTGCTTGTTTCTGTAGAAGTAGAAAGCTCTTTCTCCATATAGAAACATTTTTTTAGGTGACAAGCAAATGATCTTTATAGAAAATCACATCAAAATGATAAATATCATGTACAGTACTAAAACAGATTTTTATTCGAATAAAAGTAATTGTTTTCTGAAATGTAATTTATTGCATGTATTTATTTATTTATTTACATTTAATTGGAAACGTCAGAGACGATTGTATTCCACCCCCCAATAACAAAGAAAAAAAATGATCCCCAATAAAATTCATTTCTGCCCCCCTTTCAGCATATTTTTTTGTACCTTAAAAATCCAGTGTTTAGTTATCATACTGTATTTTTATATGTTTATTTCAATTAGTGGAACCCAGCTGTAATGTCACTCCATTGTAACAACATAAATAAGACAGTCTCTTGAATGTTGTAATAACTGAGTTTAACTGTACATCTGTATATTTATTCATTAACATAATATATATTACATATATACATTAATATTAGTAAATATATATGTTTATAATTAACAGTGAAACTAGAAAGTGAACATGATCAAGACTAAAGAAAATAGTCAACTGAAGAAACAAAACTATCTACCAACATAGACATGACAGCTCTGCAATTATTTTCTGATACAAACTTTTACGTCGTGTGTATTTGGTCTTGAAAATTGAGATAGTTATATTGGATTCATTTTGCAATTTCACTGTTAATGAATAACATGTTGTGATTAGTTTTAATGATTAAAAATTGCTAATTTTTAAATTCACAAAAGAATGATTACACAATACGGTGACGAAAATAAAGCATATCAGTCAAAGAAAAACTTAAGAATGGACAGATGAGTTCAGCAATAGCAAAATAAGTATAGTTGACAAAGATCACATTTTTTTAAACATTCATGAACAATTTAAGCATGATGAACATTATTGGTTGAGCCATTCAATAAAACAGACAGGCCATTCTTGTTAGTAAATGAGACTTATGAAACTGATACTAAAAGATGTTCAAAAAGTAAGGAGACTACAATGAAAAATAATTAAAATTTTTTTTGTTGTCTTCTTCTTTAATTGAAAAAGTTAAAGAATTTAAGAGCTGAATATAATGAAAATGTAATGTTTCAATATTACTTGGTTTGGGTTTCAATTTTATGACATGTAAGATTAACATATATTATTTTAATTTATTTTCTTTCTTTAAACAAACATATGTTAAAATACACAATTTGTTTTCAGTTTTTTCCAGTGACATTTATTTGAGATTAGATGTTTTCTTTAAATATGAAGGAAAATTTGCTTTTATTCTCTTTTTAATTATTTTTTGAAATTTAACAAAAATTATCATATTTTTTAAATAAAATAATTGTCTAATATTTTCAGTTTTTCTACTGATAGAGAAAGTCATCATTCATTGATGCTTGATAAAACATCAATTGAAAAGAAACAACTTCCTGATCAAATATTACAGGAAATTCAAGAGACAACTAATTTTGTTAAAAATGATCGTAAGTATTTAAAATTTCAACTGTTTTTGATTGATCATTTAAATTATTGTTGAATTATTACCTGATTTGTAATTCTTTAAATAATTTTAACTATTAAAATAATCAAGTGTGAATTTTTTGCTCTCCAGTGATTTAACTCATTGTTCTTATTTTCCTGAAAAATGACAGAATTCTCATCTCAAAAAAGGAAAACTTTCTCACCACTATCCCAGGATGGATCACAACGAAACATAAAGAAACGGATTGGAAGTGAGGAAAATATTACAGGTGAGTCAACGGAGGAATTGATCTTGTGTTATATAAGTGCTGAAAAAGAGATTAATGTTTAGGAAGGAATTAAACTTTTGTTGAAACTACAAGCCTCTTCAAATAGTACTTTTTGAGCAATTAGATAGAAAGCAGGTTTGGATTGAAAATATAGACACTGCTTTGGTAGATCTTGAATCTAGACTCTGTCCTCAAAATTGATAAAGAAAAAGGTAATGTTAGAAATGACAAATCAAATGCAGAAATAAATGCAATATGTAATTATTTACATGAAAAGTTCATGAAATTGGAAGATAAAGAAAGAAATAACTTTGTAATTTCAGGTTTAGATGATGGCGAAAAAATGGATTATTGTCTATACAAGGTTCAAAAATTATTTAGTGATAATTTGCAGTTTACAGATATGAATATCAAGCGTACTTATTGAATTGAAAAATTTAAACCTAATTCAAAAAGACTGGTTATTTGTGAATTGTTTAACTTTTGAAGATAAATCAAAAATATATAAAATTATTAGTAAATTGAAATGCTCAAACATATGTATTAATGATGATTACTCACCAAATACTAGAATTATCAGAAATAAACTAAGACTTTATGGCAAAGAAATGTACTCAAAAGAAGCTACTAATGTTAAACTGCGATATAATAAATTAATTATGGATGATAACACATTTGTCTGTAATTATAAAGGTGAAATTTTTCAAATGGATAACAATCAATCTTTTTTTAGGAATATAGTTTGTAATGATAAAAAAGATGATGAAATTAAAGAGAATCATAACTAATATAATGTTTTATATTATACTCGGACAATGACAATAATGCAAAACTTCTTTTTTATAACAGCAGGTTTAAATAATAAATATTGCTTTCCTAATTTTTGGAATTTAACCTACTGAAGATGATTATTGAAAATTGATATATACAAGACTTTTACGGATAAATGATAATTCTTTGTTGAAGCTATGGCTTATTATAGTTAAAGGATTATTAAACAAGTGAAACGGCAAAACCGTATTTGGGACAAGACTATGTCTAGGAGATGGAATCACTTTGATGCTCAAGGCAGGTTTCGTTCTCATTCTCCTATCTTCTTTGATATTGCTGCTTTTGGGTGCGATCATTCAAACTTCGCCGGCCACGACCATGAGATCGTCCACGATGAATCTTCAATGAAATTAACCTATCTAATTTCAAAATTTCTATTCGTTGCATGTCGGCCCCGATTGAATTTTTGTCAATGTGTAACGAAAAGTTCCTGTTTTTGAAAAAAATAATCATGGCTATTGTATAGTCCAAAATTATTTTTTTATTTTGCACGAACAATATACAGTTTAATCTGATTATAATGTCATCGAATGTAACGACAACCCTAATATAACGTCAAATTTTTATCGGTCCTACGATTTTACTATACTAGATAATGTTAAAAAAACCCACTTGAAACGACATAAAACCGTTTTAACGTCATATTTGAAGCACTCCCAAATTTACAAAATTAGATTAGAAATTTTATTTAACATAGAAGAAACTACGTGTTTGGTCCAAAGGTCAGGTTTACTTCTTAGAATGACTGTGGGTGGTACTCTCCTCTACCTGACTTCAGTGGGTTGTTTTACTGTTTGTAGAAGAGGGTCGCCATTTTGTATTTTATTTTAACTCGATTCTCGGTCCCGTAACTACCTACGAGTCTGGATTTTTTTATGTGCAAATGATTTGGGCACCTAATGCTCTGTGCCAAATATCAACTCTCGACATTTACACCTTCATACCTCTATGCTGATAAGAACATGAGGCAGTACGATTTTATAAACAAGACAGTCTTGTCAATAATATTGGATTGTTCTCTAGTTACATGTATTTTTTAAGTGAAACTTTGTTCCTCCTGGACTGTGACCAATAACTAAGAGATTTATATTGGTTTAAAGAGGTACTGTACATTATTTGAGTGAAAGAGGTTGGGACAGTGAAATTTTTCTTAATGGAATGTGGACTCCAGTGCCATATTTATTGTCTAATTTGAGTTACAAAATAGTCATTTGCTACACAATTTAGATTAAATAAGTTTTTGATAAATTTAAATGATAAAATAATTAATGTCTCATGTGATGCTGAGTGTTCTTTTTGTAGGATGACAGTGATGGATATGAGAAAACACCTTGATTTTTGTAATTTTCTTTTGGATATCTGAGTTGCTACACTATTATCTGATTTTTGTTATCAAATTTTATTCAGTGTCAGTTTCATTATGTTAACAGTAGATATTATTATATAAATCTTTTGTTCATGTATCAAATTGAAAGTAGTAATGAAATATCATTACTACTTTATAACCCCTTTGTAATAACACCTATTACAGTATATCGAATAATAAAGATTAATTGATTGATTTATTGATTAACATGTTACAATTAACATTTAACCCTCCTGCCACAAGGTGGCATATCAGGACACATATCACAAGGTGGTGTCGTATACAACACTTAGCTAGAAAAAACTATTTTTTCTTATATAAATTAGGTTTGTTTGGTTTAAATAATAAATATACGTGAAAAGAAAATGTGTATATTTACAAAACGTACAAAATTGTGTTTAATAGGAACGAACTTTTTTATTCACAAAATTACAATTACAATTTTTTAAATTAGGAAGAAACTTTTTATTTTTTAAGAACTAATGCTGTTATTTTTATTTATTTAGTCATATGCATGACGGACAAATCACTTTCTTGTGTTCACCACAAACACTTTTCTTATACTTGGTACATAGGTGATTCCCTTTTCGATTTTTTTTCCGTGTACAAAAAAACATTTTCCTGGCCTTGTCGATGTGGATGGATTTAGTGATGGTGCATCTTCGGGCATTTCTATTTTTAGGATGTTGCACATTTTTTCTATCAATGTTTTACTAATGTGGGGATATGTCATCCTTTTTCTATGTGTGGTGTAACCCGTGAAAAAGAAAGTTTCTTCAAAAACTCAGTCCAACAGTTCTAGGTTTTTGTGACATATTTAGCTTGTAGATTGCACAGGCATTTACTGCTGCTGCATCTAAATGCCATAGAAGTATCACATAGGCCAGTAATTTGTCATTCTTTTGACAGATTTTTGCATGAATAAATTATCAAAAATGTGTCTTTAGTTACAATATAAAATTCAACTACGGCAGGTTTTTGGGTGATTTGGGCAATTTCGCCAGTGTAATGCATGGATAATATGAGGACTACAGTTTTACTTTTCTTCGGACAGAAAAACCAAGAATCTTTAGATCATCGTACAGAAATTTTGAAAAATTTCCTTTACGATTATTGGGATTTACTGTAACAATTCTTGACGAATTTCTTCGTTCATAGTAAACCGTTGATATTCTGTTATAGTAATCTGCCAAACAATGGTAGATAATCAAAAAATAGCTCTTTAGGCTTTTCCTACACAATGAAAAAAGATAACGTACATCACTAGGGGGTGTCGTATACAACACTGAAGCAGAGTGCGCTCTAATAGTACCTAAATTATGAGAAAAATTGAAGGTCGATGACTTATTTTTCCACATTGCTGTCTTGAGAACTACTGCCCGATAGGGTAATTTATGGTCACAACCCCCCAACACTAGCGCTGTTTCTTATACAAATGAAAACAAACAAGACGTGTTGGATACGACACCACCTTGTGGCAGGAGGGTTAATTACTATCTTAATATTTTTAAACTTTATTGACACTAATATTTATCTGAAATTCTAAAATAAATTATAACATACAAAACAATAAGGTGATTTATTTTTTACTTTAATTTGCTCATCTTTTTAATCTATAGTAATAGATGTTTTTAGAATTCTGGATAAACATTGGGCTCTAAAGTAGTAAATAGAATACAAATTATATATTAATTCTAACACACATTAAAATATTTAAATAGAAAATTGGGTCAAAGTATATCTAGGTAACCCTAATGGTGGTGCTCCCGACGGACTCCTCCAGGAGGGGAGCCACAGATCACTGAGTGCCTAATGTCACTAGCTATTGATTCATGGTAGTTCTTGAGCAAAATAAAAAAAAAAAAAAGGAAACATCTACTAAAAATATAGTTAATCTAACCTAACCTAACTGAAGCACCGCCATTGGGGTTACCTAGGTATACTTTAACTGAAAATTGTGTATTTATTGATTTTTAAAAAATAAAAACATCTTGTAGTGTTGACTACCTATTAATTTTTAATTTAATAATTAAAAATGTATATTTGATAGAAGAACAACATGCTGAAATGGTTGATGTTTATCAAAATCTAACTGATGCTGCTACTAGAGATGAACCAAATGATAAATGTTGTGAAAATGAAATGATGACTCAACCAATCAAAGTAATTGATGAGAAGAAAGAAAACTTAATGTGTTTTATGTAAGTGTTAACTTGATATTTGAAATTTTTCAAATTATAAATTGCCCTTTATCAGTAAATTTAGTTAATAAAATCTTTTTAAACTATTAAATAAATATTATAATAAAATTAATAGTTGGGTTTTTGAAATATAGTTTAAAATTTGGTAATATCTTACCATTTATTCCATAAACTTTTTCTTGCTGTTATATTTAATCTTTTATATATTGTATTTTGAATTTTTATATTTAAAGAATTGATGATGAATTTTTAAAACGTTATTTTTCAAGCTCACACTTTTAGTTAAATTTTAATTAATTTTATTATATTATTCTAACAGTTAAAAATATTTTTTATTTTATCCTGTATTTTCTAGACCTATCTAGATTATATAATTTCTACTATTGTTGAATTTTTGTCAAAATTTTAAATGTTTCATTGATAACTTCAAAATATTAATTTTATGTATTAAGTTATAATAATATATCTGTTTAATGATATTGTTATGTTTTAAGTTAATCAATTGGCATTAAGTTAATCATCATGACATTCCAATTGTCCTTTATCCAAATGTCCAAAGATTATAATAACAAATATTATAATCTTCAAACAATAATTGATAAATTTTTTGCCATTTCAAAATAAAGTTTTCTAAAATCATTTTAACAAGAAATATTTTAAGATTATCAGATACTTTTTTTAATCAAAACTTTAGGTATTTAAGTACTTTACTTAATTAAAATTTTTATATAAAAATTTTATTTTTAATTTTAGTCCTCCTGCTGATGAGAAATATTCTCTCAGTTTTCAAGATTATGATGATGATAATGTGAAATTAGCAGCTCTTTCTGCTCACTCAGAATCATTTAATTCTTTTAACATTTCTGAGTCTAAAAAACTAGAAGGAAGTAATACAGAAAAAAGTAAGCTTTTTTTCCCCCTATGATTTTTAAATGTTAATATTTTTTAAAAATTTTCATTTTATATAATGTCATTTTTGTCATTTGAACAATTAAATGATCTGAAAGTGTTATACATCAGTAATATTCCAATTGAGAAATTTTCTCTAAATATTTTGCTTAAAATTTTGTGATGGATTACTTTTTAAATATAAATTATATAAATATATTTAATGTGTGTGTATGTACAAGGTATGTCTGAAAAGTTTGGTGAATGGTTTCATAGTTGAATAACTGTGCTGGTTAGGATGTTGCACTCATGCAGACATAGTGAGAGACTTGCCAACTAGTGCCCCCTAGCATCGAAATCATGACAGTTAAATGGAAGTGCGCGCAACAAACAATGCAACACAGTCAGTGTGAGGAGGAGTGTCAGTGCGAATTGGAGCAATGCACGAACATCAACTTTTGCTTCAAATTAGGCAAAATGGCAACAAAGACACACAAAATGTTAGTGAAAGTGTAGTGTGTGGAAGCAGTGAGTAAAAAGTGTGTTTTTGAATGGTTTAAACATTTCAGAGATGGAAAGGAAGATGTCGACGATGAGCCGTGTTCTGGTCAATCGTCAACAAGCACAACTCCAGACAACATCGAACGAGTGTGACAGATGCTTGCGGATGATTGGCACCTGTCTTTGAGAATGATAGCAGAAGATTTGAAGATAAGGAAGAACAGAGAGGAGTCCGGCAGGGCTGCATTCTTTTGCCCCTGTTGTTTAATCTGTACTCAGACAAAATCTTCAAAAATGCGTTAGAAAACTCAAGTTATGGGATTAAAATTAACGGCATAATTCTTAATGTCATTATATATGCTGATGATACACTAATCATATGCGACAGCCTTGAAGGCTTACAGATACTACTAAACAAAATTAACTCAGCAGGAATTGATGCCGGTCTCAAAATAAATGCAAACAAAACTACATTTATGATCTTTAGTCAGACCCCACACAGAGAGGCACAACTTGTTCTTGATAAAAAAAAATTTGAACGGGTCAAACAGTTTAAGTACTTGGGAAGCATAATTACAGAAAATCTAGATTCAGAGAAAGAAATTAAATGCAGGATAGCAGCAGCTAGAACATCCTTCCAAAAATGAAAACCCTGCTCTGCAACGACAATTTAAATTTGAATTTGTGGCAATGCATGGCCGAATGTTATATTTGGTCAGTTCTCCTCTATGGTGTGGAAAGCTGGACATTAAAAAGGAATACAGAAAGAAAACTAGAGGCATTTGAGATGTGGATTCACAGAAGGATGCTAAGAGTTCCCATGGACAGATTGAGTGACCAACAACGAAGTTCTAAGAACAAACAGAAAATTGCTGTCAACAATCAAATGCAGAAAGATTGCATACTTGGGACTTGGGACATATCACTAGAGGAGAAAAATACAAAATCCCACAACTAATCCTCAATGGAAAGATTAAGGGAAAGCGTAAACGAGGCCGAAAACATTTATCATGGATGGACAGTATTAAAAAATGGACAGGCATACAAAACATTGGGGAGGTAATGAGAACAGCTGAAGATAGGAACTCCCTCTCCTTGGTGATCACCAATGTCCGAGAGACCGGGCGTGGCATGTGAAGAAGAAGAACAGTGTGTACACCATAGCAATTTTTACAGGCCAAAAATTATAGTATACGTAAGGCTGAAATGGCACTGGGTTCTATGTGGCCCATTTTTTTAAGAGATAAAATTAATACTACTCATATAAAATTATTTCAATGATTTTATCTGTATTGTGTTATGCTGCTCCTGTATGGGCAATTACATATTATGATAAAATAAAATTGTTCTTGCTTTATGTCTTTGAAAAATTTTCATGTTATATAGTAAAATTCCAGCTTGCATGTTGCGTTTTGAGTTTGGTGTTTCTAGAATATCGACAATTGTAATAAAAGGAATAATTTCATTTTGGGTTAGACTTGAAATCGAAGGATAAAAGTTACATTAAATTAGCATATAACAAACTATAAATTAAGTTAGAAAATGTTCAGTTATACATATAATTAGACGATGGTGCTGTTACCTGTTAGCTTGACATGGTTTCTCCTTTTTATGGTTGTTTCAAGATCTTCATTTGATTGAAAGCTATCAAATGTTAATTCTAAAAGTGTTGTGAACAATGCATACAAGAATGGTCTCTGCTGGAAAAGAATAAGCATTTCTATTACAGTGTAGTATTAAAAAAAACTTGTGCGCGCTGATTACTTGTTTATGGACGTAAATTATTATGTAAAACGATCAATTCTTCAACTAAGATGGTGGTCAAAATTAAATTTTGATGTATAGTAGACTAATAATAAATCCTGATAGAATTTGTAGTAGTAATTGTAACATGCAAGTGTATGAAACTTGGGAACATGTATTTTTCTATTGTGTGACATTTGAAAGAAGTAGGAAAAAGTATTTGACAAGGTTTAAGTCTTGAAAAGATATAATTAGTTTTTTTGTGTTTTTCAAGAACTGATTATTACTGTGTATTTTATTTTGTGTTATGTACTAAATTGTTACATTAATTTGTTAAATATTATTAACTAACTTTTAAATTATAGTTTAATCCCATGTTCTAACTAACCTTTAACTAAGGTTCATGCAGTAAAGAAATTTTTATTATAAACTGTTAAATTTTTTTATGCTTTTAATTATTACCAATGTTAATGAATGATGATATATTAAATAACAGAATTTATATTTAATTATAGTTTCATTAATCTTCTGATTTATATTGATTCTACATCAAAATTAGATATTCACTCATACAAATATGTTTAATTAATTGGAGATCTGTTAAACATCATCTCCAATTAAAACTTCTTAACATAAATTAAAATAAAATTGGATTTCATAGTTAAATTTTGCTTTTTTATCAGAAATTGATATTAAATTATAAAAAGTCTAAAGATACTTCTGAAAAGCTAAGAATAAAATTAGAGTTAACTTATTTGAGATATAAATCTTATTGTTTTACAAATAGAAAAATTATAATATTGATAGATTTTTACATAGTGAAAATGTGATTATGAAATATTTTAGATGCTTAGTTGCTTTCTATTTATGTATATAGATAATGGAATCCCATTTATCTATCTTAAATAGGACCAGGACTGATTTGGATGACTGAAAATCCAGATAATCCAGAAAAATTGTTAATGACATAAATAACACAGTTTACAAACTTTTCATTTTACATTTCTATAGTCTTCTCCAACATAACAACCAGTTTGTTTGTTTGTTTGTTTGTTTTTTTAGATGTAATTTTTGTAGTGTTTACTTCATTTCAAAAATGTTTGAAGATGAGTGAAACTCAGCAAAACAATAGAGGCTTTAAGATGTTGAGTTAATTATAACTTGCAGGGTTACAAACATAAACTTATTAATTTACACACTGACTGTCTTAAGAAGTACAGCATTTTTTATTTAACAGGAAAGTAGCAATTTTTTTAAATCGAAAATTTTAAAAGATTAGAAAAGGTTCAACAAAATATTAAGTAAATTCAAAGAACACTTCCTCCAATTGCATAACAATGAACATCATATACTCATTCATAGGAAACATATCTATCCTTGTTACACTCGGGCAAGAATGTAATTAGGAGTTCTTAGATTTTTGGAACACCTATAAATGCAAAAAATCAATCTGAAACAGGTATTGTGTTTTATAATCCAGATTAATGGAATGTTCCAGTCTGTGTGTGTGAAATGCTAATAATTGTTCAAGATAGAAAGATAATGCAATATAACCATACATAAGATGTCAAATATTTAAATGATTATAACAATCTAAAAATGTCTGATACTTATATGAGCTGTTGTCTGATACTTATATGAGCTTATATTGTAAATCTTGAATATAATTGTTGTTATTTTTACATTTTTTGCATAACTAATTTTATATATCATTACATTAAAGCTATGATTTAATATAACAATATATATATAAATATATTCTACAATGTTTGTTTAAATTTAAAGTTTAAAGGGAATTTTTAAAAAAATTTATATTATCAATTTTTATACTTTTCATTTTGTGGAGTTAATCAATTTGGCAAGTGAATGGCTCATATATATATTTTTAATTGCAGATCCTAATAATAATAATAATAACGATGATATATCAAATACATATCAAAGATTTGATAATCCCAATGAAGAGATTGCAAATTTATCTACATCATTACATACAAAAGAAGTTACAAATATGATACGAGGAGTTTGGTATAAAACACTTAGTCATTTATCTATTGAAGATAATACAGAAAATTTGGTCAATAAAATTAATGGTAAGTTTATTATTGATGATAACATATTTGAATTAGTTTTTTAATTTTATTTTTAATAAATTTATTCTACAGCAGAAAATCAACAAAATGGAAATTTTGTTTTTTATCAAGATCCATCAGTGATTATTTCACAAAGTACCCTTCATGCAGATAATCCAATTGAAATGATTGATCTCAATGAGGAGAAGAAAGAAAACATGTAGGTTTTTACAAATTATTTTTAGCAAACAATTATCAAGAATGAATAAATTATTCCATTTGTATTTTTTATATAACACACACGTTTTAATTTTACATTATACAGCATTAAATTGATATAGATAAGTTAAAAGATTTTATTTAATTTCAAAAATAGTAAATGCAGTGGATCTCTATTTAACAGAGAAAAATTTATCTTACAGGAAAAATTTAAAAATATTTTTATTCATGAATAGAACATGCTAAAAATGTGAGGACATGTAAGCACCCTAGTTGCACCTTAATTCCTCCATTCTAATAAATTAATAAAACAATGTAAACAGATAGGCAAACTGTTATGGGTGAATTCAAACTAATTTGAATTATAGTCAAGAAAAGGTACACACCTTTTCAATTTAAATGGTATGAGTCCCAAAGATCAGTAAACATCTCCAGTTGGGATCAGACTATGATATCAAATTAAAATGTCAGTGTCGACCTTCCTATGCCTGAGATGGTTTTGAATTTCCCCTGGAAACAAGTGTGACCAATCAGGATGTGAGGATGGGTTCAAAACCAATCAGATTTTTTATCAACAGTCAAATTTTTTAAACTTTCATGTCTTAAAAACACGTGGAATTTTTCAGTCACTGACATCTAACCTTGTGGCAAGTGTTTTTCTTCTCCACACTTTGCTGAATATTTGGATTTTCTGTTCTATTACTTTTTCCCAGTCATCAACATGTGGCTGTGACTTTCCTCATTCCTTGGACTGTTGTCGTCATCTTTGGAGCACCAAACTGGCTTCAACTTTTATCAGTGGGACCATTATTGAGGAAAGAAATAACAAAATAATCCAAAACAAATTTCACTGATGAATTGTAATATAAATTGGGTGGCAACAAATTTGAGGTTATGTGAATATATAATTTTGCTCAAATAAACAGCATTGATAGGAAAAACAAGTTATTCCTTCTTCCTGAACATCCCTTGCATTGGTGACCTTTCTGACCATATTGTCTAGACCAGGTTGCAAATTTTGATCCCAATGCTTTACATCTTCGTAGTAGATGTGAAGCATTGTCATGTGATCCTCACAAAAGCTTGAAACAATGAGCCAAAACACATTTGATTTAATGGACTTCCAGTAATATCAGACATCCTTTCTCCAATTAATCCATTAAATTAAGAGTTTACTATATTAGAAAATTACAGCATTTTTATTTGCTTGCTTATTACTTGCTTTTCTTAAAATTTTTAAAAATGTTTTTGGTTGATAAAAATTTGTTTATTTATTAAAAAGTTGTGAAGACATTCTCTGAATTAAATACCAACTAGGGTTTCTCATTTCCCGGTCTTTTGCTTGTCCCGGGATCCCGGGATAAAAGTGAACTGTTTCCCGGGATCCCGGGATAGAATTAATTATTTTTAAGGTATACAAAATATCTTGAAATCAAATGATATAATTATTTTCCATTTTTTAAAGTAATTTTAAAGTTCTGTAACCTCCAAAATCATATTAATAATGCTGTGTAAGGTCTATAGGCCTATAATAAAAATTACCTTTAAATAACGTAGAAATTTTCACAAATAGAAAAAAATTAATTAAAGTTTGCTGGAAACTGCATACAACAACAACAAAAAAAATGTTTTGAATTGAGTTAAAAATTAAAAAAATGAACTTCTAATTTAGAAGGTAATTTTCGTTTTTTAAATAAAATATAATACAAAATATTGCAAACTTTTATAAGATTTTAAAAAGCAAAGATGGTCAATACTCCGATAACTCACTCTAATTCTTATTTTAGTAATGAAAAGTCTTGCCACCGAGAATGCCCTTTCCGATTCAATTGATGTGATTGGAATAGTGTTTAATGCATTTAAGAGAAGACAGATATTATGTGTTTTTTCACCTGTAGCCTGGAAGCTTTCGAGTTCGTTTTCGAGATTGTAGTACTTCTTTCGCTCTCTAGTATTCTTGATTTGTCTACCTTGGCTGCTTTAATAGCGGCATCAAGCTTAGAGCTCGATAATTCGGCAATTCATTTGGCTTTAATAATCAGGTTTATGAAGAAAAACTTCATACTTGCAGACTTTGTACTCGTTTGTATCCTTGCCCAATTTGCACAATCTGGCGTCAGGCATTTATTGAAGCTACTGGGCATGGTTAAAACTCAAGACAGCGTAAGCACAATTATTCCAGATATTACAGGTTCCGACAAGTAAAGAATTTTTATAGTCCTGCCACAAATAAGCTATATATTGATTATTGACCATTTGTGACATGCTATAACGAGCAAAAATTAAAAAAAAACTAATAGGTAGGTTTAAAATTAATAAATACAAATGTATTCTGACAGTGAATGAGTTAATTATGCTTTCTATTTGCAAAATTCCTCAACCTTAACACAAAATAAGAAAAAAAGTGAATTTTTAAGAAATTTGCAGGATTTCCCGGGATAAGAAAAATTTCCCGGGATATTTCCCGGGTTAAAAAAACAACCGGAATCCCGTTTGAGAAACCCTAATACCAACATACAAAATGACTGTGATTTATGCTTTAGTTGTATTATGAAATAATTAGTCTTATGTTTATAAATAAAGTTTTACAGAGTTTAAAAGCAGTTATTCCAAAAAAAAAATCCAAATTTCTTATTTTATAGAAGTCTTTTCTATAAAAATTGATAAACACTTCAGATATTTGCTTGTTTTCAGATCAAATACTAACTTGAAACTTTTAAATGATGACCCCCAGAGGAAGAATGATCCCTGTCAGTAAATTCTAATTTTGAAATACTGTGTAAAAATTTATTACTTATTTCCCATGTTTGTTTGTTTGTTCTTTTAATACCTGAAATGTAAGAAATTCATGCAATGCCAAATTTTGCCCTAACACCTGAATTTTAATTTTTTCTTGAAATTTCAAACCACAAACTTGGGACAGTATGTATTGTACACAGGGATGTGGAGTTTTGGTATTTTAGCCGGAGTCAGAGTCGTCAAAAAATCTGCTGAACTCTGACTCCTTTTTACTTCCCAACTTGCTATGTATATAAAACAGAAAAGTATTGGAATCATGTCATATTTGACCCTCCAGGTTTTTTTGCAAATCTACACATTTGAAGACCTCTCGAACCCCTCAAAAAGTCAATAAAAATTCAGAGGAAAAATTCACATGCATGTATGTGTTGGTGTCTAATTTGTTTAACTTTTTTATTTTCTATTCTGAGATATTAAACAATATCTCAGAATGGGTAAAGTTTAAGAAATGAAATGTGACACTGTAGCTTGCGTATAAAGGGGCATTAATACTATTAAATTTTGGTTCTTAATTAAAGGTCGACAGAGTGAAGACATAAAAGTGGTCATGTGTCATATCTCTTAATGAATATTTTACTCATTATTAGCGTTCAAAATTAAAAAAATAAAATAAAATAAAACTCATCTCTACCCTCAAAGTAAGCTTTTTTGGCATTTTATAATAGTACAGTAAAACCTGTTAAGATGTTAGAATGTATATGGGGACATGATTTAGTTCAACTACTTTGACGCTTAATAACTAATTCCTGTGTTAAACCATCTGACTCCACTCTGACCACAGAAATTATTAAGCTTCAAACAGGGTGATCAAAATCATGCCCCCCACACACAGTCTAACATCCACACATATAGAAAAAAACCTCAAATCTTTTGCATATCTTGAAATTTCAAGGTGTCCTGAGTCCAAAAATGTAAAAATTTGGAAAGGATCATTTTTTTGACCAATAGCTACACCTTCCCTCTGTTATATATAACAGACAGAAAAGTAAAAGTTATCAAATACATATTTGTATATTACTTGGAGGAGTCTTTTAGCTTTGGAATAAAAAGTTTCTACGTTTTATCTTTATTAGAACTCTATTTATTGAATCTTTTATTCTGAGGTCACGTGATGACATCAGAATTTCCGTGTCTCTTTCGGTAACAAGTCTGCCCCTAGTCGGAGTCGCATGGTAAGGAAGAGTTGGAGTTGGTAGATTTTTACACGACTCCACAGCCCTGATTGTACATCAAATTTGGTTGATATTTGCTCAATAATTCTTTCTATTACCATATTTTCATGGATTGTCCAGCATGTGGGTCTATTCAGGGGAGACCATGAAATCATACTGTATATGGTATATCGTAAAAACTGGGATGCTGGTTTAAGTGAGGTTATACATCCTTCTCTAGCAGGTGCATTTAAAAAAGTTATATTGTGTAAAAGCAAGTGAGTTTTTATTCTAAAACTGTGAAACTGTCTGCACTACATAAAAAAACTAAATCAATCCTCAATAGTAGTTTTTGTCATCCAAGCTTTTCTATTGGATCTCCGATGAACAGGGAGAAAATTTTTATCCACACCTGTAAGCAGATAAGATTTTTGTGAATGATAATGTTAGGACCCGAACAGGGGTTGACTGAGAGGTCTGAATGAAGGATATCGATCGGAAATTTAAAGTGCTCCTTTTCAGACGCGAATGGAAAGGATTAGCTGTCTTGATTGAATTTTTTTTTTTTTTTTTTTTTTGTAAATTCCTTAAACAATGGAAACGGATAAATTCGAGGAAAACTTGACGAGAGAGAGGAATCATATTCAGTCACGACACTTACCTCTCCCGCGCCCTCCATCGAGTTTCAAATTGTCACCAGGTGTCAGTGAGAGACCAATGGAGAAGAGACTAGGGGTGAAAACTCTATAAAACTGTGTGATTCAAGTTACAAAGGTTCTTGGATGCGCAGTCTTTCTTCTCCTGGACGTGCATGCTCCAGATCTTTGGAAAAGAAAAGACATTTCAGAACTTGTGGAAACATCGTTCTCTGGGTGCCTCTTAGCGATCTACAGATTCGTCAGTTTGTATAGGAGAAGCCACCAAAAGCTGTGATAAATGTCCCAGAGCCTATGGAGTATTTCACTGTCAGCGTCCATCCACAAGTAACGAAGACAGAAGTTTTTGGACTTTGTCCACGCAATTTGTGGTGCTACCTTGTCAATCACTGAAT